ATACGCAAGGCCGTAGATAATGGATTTTCATTATTTTTACTTGGGATTCTATATAAATACTTTCATTTCTCTCTTTTACTTTAGGATATTTTTGCTCATCACTATTAAGTGATGGTGATACTCACTGTCCTATTTATCACTATTAGATGAGTTTAAATTTTGAGAATGGTATGATCAATAGATATAAATCTTAAAATTTAAACTTATCCAACAGTAATAAATAAGATGTCATTTCCTTTCTATGTTATTGCTCCTTTCCGTTTTTGTGGAGATTGTAGTACTATATATTATATCCTTTTATACCATTATGCATTGTATATATATCCTATGGACGGATGCATAGTATTGTTTTTCTTTCCTCTTATTGTGTTTGTTACCATTCAAGTTCAGATTCCATTGTTAGAGGAATAAAATACATCGACATTGTTTACATATGTACATTGTCATGTGTATTGTTTTTATTTTAATTTTTGATAGATAGTTGGGAACTCTAATATGTATCATATGTTGGATTCTTGCATATTATACATGTTGATAGTGAATTCCATGTCGAGGAAATGAGAGACCTTATACATGCTTATAAGCTATTGATGCATAAAACCGATTTAACTTTAAAACAATGTAAAGTGTCAAGATGTGACCCTCTCTAGGTTGCTTCTATTACCTAGTGATGATAGTATGTAAAGAGATAAGAAACAAATGAAACAAACACAAGATATACATGGTTCACCTTAAGTTGGGCTACGTCCACCATGATGGAGGAACTTTCATTAATAATGTAGAGTTACATGATACAAGGGTTTAGACATAGTCATTATTTAGTGGGTACTAATAATAGATTCACTAAGTAGAATAAGATCATTAGGGATCAACTGGGGGGAGAATAATCTTCTTTCATAGTTGAGGAGAGTCCTTTTTTTTCGTCTGCGGTCAATCTGGGACTAGAAGATTTATTCTAAGTGTTAACATGTGTCGCGTTGTGATTGGTCTCCTGGTTGGAGAGAAATTCATGTGCTTTGGCATGGATGCTTTAGCATGACCTCTTTAGTAGGTCTTCGAATTTATAACGTTGACAAGTGCTCGGTAATTTCGAGATTAGTGAAGTATGGTGTGTGCAAACATAAGTAATTGGGCTACTCCCAATATTCTCAATTACTTTTATAGGTGGAACCTCAACTTTCTTCATGGTGTTAAAGCAAATTATTCCATGTGTAAAGCCCAACAGTAACACATGCTCCGCGTCATCTCGTTTGTGTTGTTCACGTGTAAGGCTTGAAAATTTGCCACAGGTGAGGGAACATGTTGATAGTGAATCTCACATCGAGAAACAGAGGAACCTTGCATATACTTATATGTAATTGAGTTACTCTCTATATAGTCAATTAGTTTGACGGTGAAACCCCAATTTTCTTAATATATTTACTTTAACCGTATAAAATTAAAAATTTAGCTAATCCAGTATGATTATATAGGGATCTATATATATGATGATCAAGACTTGAAATATTAAGCATCAAAGTGGAACCAGTTAACTATTTGATTGTGATAATGTGATATCGTTTGTCAAACAAGAAAAATTATTTGATTGTGGTAATGTGATCATCATACTTGAAAGTTTGGTGAAGTGGTTACAAGGGTGACCCATAAATATATCACTACTTTTTGTTTAATTATTTTTATTGGATGATTTCAAAATAATAAAAATAAAAAAGGGAAGAACAAATTGCAAGAAAATTTCCAAAAAAAAGAAAAGGAGAAGTTCATGAAGGCAGTGACATTTTTTATTGTACTTATAAAAGTGGTATTGATTTTATAAAAATAAAGAATATATATATATATATATAAGGGTCGTGCTATTTATACATTTTTATTTTTTATTTTTTATACACCCTCTTAAGTTTCGAGCCTCAGATTGAGTGAGTTGAAAATGATAAATGATAGAAATTAACAGTAATATGTGAGATAAAAACAAATGTATAAATAGCACCGTCTTTGTACGATTATGTTTAACTGCAGTAGGTATATGTGGTGTGGATGTGAAAAGTCAAAAAAGTATGCTTAATTATTTGAGTAAGAGGAGATGGCATCTTCACCTAAAGCATATGAGTGCTATGATCTATCCAACCTAAAGCTTTTTACATATGACATAATTTTAGATCCAAGGTCTATTTCAGGGTTGGAGAATGTTGAAAAAAGATGATATGGATCACAAATTGCATTTGAATTACAGATCCCAAGTTTCTGCATTTATTCATTTTGTCTTTGCATCATAAAAAAAAAGAAAAAGAAAAGAGGTTTCATTTTCAAAGGGTTTTGAGATAGAATCATGCTTTGATGTCGAAAGCAGAGCAGAAAATGCTGTTGAAACTTAATCACAAATGGACAGATATCAAATCATTGTTTTTAAGGAAAATTAATTAAAATGGTTTGAAAACTTTGAGTTTTAACGGTAAGGACAAAATAAAGGGTAAAATGAATAGTACCAGGATTGACTTTTTAGTGTAAAAATGTGGTTTTTCGTTAAAATGAACAGTACCATGAGCTTTTCGTTAAAACTCCTTTGTTTTTAATTTTAATCAATGAGACACGCATGCATTTGTTATTTGTTTTTCAGCAATACTTGCTATTCCTTTTTTAGCAGCGAAACATGATTCTGTAAGATATACTACTATATTAGTTTTGGATTTTTCTAGACTAGTAGAACGTATCACTGCATTCTGGTTCAAACACTTCCCTATCTTTTTAGGTTAGCGTTGAGTAAAAATATTGTTTGTAATCAAATCCCACCAATAATGTAGAGTTAACAATTTATTAATATTATAACACGTTGATTGATGGATCCATCCTAGAGGATGATCAAGTAGTTCATGCATATTATATGACGCAACACCAGCATAGTAAATGGGATACAAACATAAGTCCAAGAATCAGCAAGCTGGAATCCATCAGGTTATAGAGAAAACAGAGATGTTTATTTTTTTATTAGTTCATGAATGTTGATTACAATAGCAGCCATAAGGCTTAAATAGACTTAAGTCGACTCTTGAGAAAGTCAAGGGAGTCTCAGGATATGTTAAAAAGGTAAATCGAACATAAAACAAAAAGTTTGATTTTTATTACAAACTTTCAAGGGCGGTTTTGAAAGTCTAAACGACCTCAGACGACTTTAATTCATCATACATCTGGGCAAAATCGTGTGTTGAATTGGAACTCCGTACTCATTTCAGAAAGGTATTATATTATGTGTCCAAAACGGAGCTCGAATGCCAAATCTATAAATTCCCGCCACGCTCTTTTGTCTTTCTTCGGTTCATTTCGTCTTAATCCACTCAATCATCTGTTCTACATCACTAAAACACGTGAACTGATAATATTGTGTGACGATATTCCTATATTAACAACTTTTTCCAAACACTAGATAAGGAATATATATCGAGTTTATGAACTATAAAAGAAGTATATTCGTTGGTGGTAGGTTATTTTTCCCACAAAACAATATTAAAGTGTAGAGAATAAGAGTTCAAACTTGGAATCATAGGTCTTTACCAACATTTACATAAAAAATATAGAGAAAGTATTTTCAAGATTCCAATACACCACCCTTATAATTACTTCCCATTAAACTAATAATTAGGTTTCAGTTCATTATTTTCTTTCAAGCATTAATTTGTACACGAGTTTCATATGTCTTGGGTGGAACCCAACCCTAATCGTATGGAATAAGCTTTTTGATGAATTTAATAATTGGAATACCTTTTACTGTACGTTATTCGGCTCCTCTAAATTGTTTTCTTAATATCTTCAAAACATTGAATTACTCTCTATTTTTAACATTAATGATGTAGGACTAGGTCCCATTTGATATTGTTATTATTATTATTATTTTATCAAAACGGTTTCGTTTTAAAGTTAAGCAATAAAAAAATGTTTAATCAGTTTAAAATATCTAACTTTAATGACCTCCAGACGTTAGTTTTTAAAAACATCATGTAAGTTGCTTTTATAAGCTGTTTTATTAAAAAACGGAGTTGAAGTTTTGATGAATATTTTCAACTCTTGTAATACCTTCATTAATTTAAAAAATGACATTATTTATCATTCTAGCAACATTTTCAATTCTTGTATCACCACTTACAACTACAAAATCTAACCACTCATGCCATCTTTAAAATTTATCACGCTTTTACATTTTTTTTTTATATATACTTACAACACTTTTAAAAATGCAGTTTATTAAAAGCTCAATTGCTTTGTTTTACAGCAAATTATTCTTAAAGCACAACATAAGCAGTTTAAAAAAACAAGCACAACAATCCCAAACTGACCCTAAGTCAATTTTACTCACTGAATACTGGGATTTCAAACTAAGTCCCAAAATGAGTCATTCATAATAACTGGTTTTTGAACTTGCCATATAAATGAGTTAAATTTGATACTTCCCACTTATACGGATAGATAAATGTCGTTAGGCTGTAGTTTCCATTTTTTCCAAACTTAGGAGGCCGTAGTTCAAATAGTCAATTTCTTTCGAACTTACTACTTTTGTAATCTGAGTATGTGAATTAAGTTAATTGGTTAGGAGAATGTGCCTATCTCCTTACACAAGAGCTTAAATTCTCTCCTGTCATGTCAAAATAATTAAAAACATTGAATTATCAAGAAAAAAATCGAGTATACTTTCTAACTATATTATAACGCTTGAATTAATAACACTACGTAATCGTGTAATTGCGAGACAAAAAACAACATTAAGCTAACTCCACCAAATTGTACTGGATCACCAGCCCAAAAAGTCTGCAAATGGGTTGAGATGGAGCCCATTGAAGACCCCGCATATTTCGTCGGTTTTTGGAAAACTGGCCCACTTCTCAATTGATTACACCAACCTTTTTTTTTTTTTTTTTTTGGCGTGTTGGGGCTTAAATGTTAATTTCGCGCGTCAAGTCTCCTGACGCCACCTGTGCTTCCGTGAACCCTGTTGCATGTAATAACCGTGCTACCGCGGGTGACTCGAACACGAGGGTAGGATTAGGGTTTTAAGACCTGCGAGAGGGTTTTGCCAGGGTTTTAGAAAAAGTTCGTAGCGTCGCTGTGCGAGACAACAATTCAGGCACGATGGGATTTTGGGGTCAGTCCTCTTTCGGGTTTTTAATTATTTAATTTATTTATGTTTAGTGCTGTAATTTTTCGCAATATTTCTTGAAATCGGAAGAAAATAGAGCGAAAATTCTGTGATTTCTTAAAATCTCTGTTTTGCCGCTGAAAAATCGCAGGTGGAAAATTGAAAGTTGGAATCCAGTTTTAGGAACTTAGGATGGAATTGGGATTGTTTGATTTCTAAGTTTTAGTAGTTGAAAAAATAATTATTTATTTATTTATTTATGGTTGAATTTGAAATTCTAGGAATTGAAGTAAAACCAGGAAAATCGTACGAGCATCAATCGGATCAATTCGAAGGAAGGCTTCACATTTCTCAGGTAATTTTATTTAACTTCAGTTGCTCAAATTCATTGTGTAGTTTATTTCTTAAATATTTTTTATTGTTTAGAGCCCTCTCAATAATTTTTGGAAACCGCCGCGATTTGGGTGTGGTATGATGTTGAATTTTCTTGTTAACTTTGTGTTGATAAGTTAGGCGACTTTAGGCCTCGGTGAATCGAAGGGGAGGAGTATAGTTCAGTGTTCCATTGGAGATAAAAGTCCAATCTTTCTATGTTCTTTGTTACCAAATAAGAATGAATCTGTCCCCTTGGATCTTGATTTTGAGCCAATTGATGGTTTGGTGACCTTCTCGGTGATTGGAAAACGAAGTATCCACCTCTCTGGTTACCTTGTGGAGGAAGGCGAGGATGAAGGAGATGACTATGGATCGTAAGTGCTAATTCATTTTACTTTTTGTGAGTTTGTTTTGGTAAGATTTTTATCATTTTTAACGGTAATTTTTATTTCTCTGCAACATTTTAAGGGATTCTTCCGGGGAGGATATTGCGGACACCGAGTCAGAGTCTTCAGAGTATGATACCGATTATGATAATGTTGGATTTATTGACGATGAAGATTTTGACATGTACCCGCCTTCACCTGTTCCAAATAGTGGAGGTAAATTGGCCTATTGGATACCTATTGCTCACGTTTTTTTATTTATTTATGATGATTTGGCATAGATCTTTCATGAATTTCGTGACTGGTTTTGCGTATTAGATCTGATATTAGAGGAAGCATAAATATAGTTAATTTCCATGCAAAAGTTTGATTAACTTCAAGATGTTAAGTTTCAGCTAGATTTTAGTCTTCCTTAGTATTTTGGCGTACTCCAAAGTACCAAACCATAAATATGCTATTATTCGGCACTATGTTATACTTAATTATGGTCTTTTTGTATACATTGGGTTGTATTCTGCTGGTGAATGCCGCTTTGATTTATTGATGATTGTCACCATTTCAGCTGTGATTTGTTCATTATATGCTGTAATATAGTGCCTGACTCAATATTTTCTTTGGTTTAAATCTTAGTTGTAATTGAGGAGATAGAGGACGATGAGAAACCTACTAATGGAAACAGTCGGTCCAAACGACAAGTGAAAAAGAATCAATCAAATGACTCTGAAAAGATCACAAATTCTCAGCAACAAATTGTTGTCAAGGAAAATGCTGGTGACCCTGTTTTGGAGAGTGAAGATGAAGATGGTTTTCCAATATCCACTAAACAGAAAACCAACATTGAGAAGCATGAAGCAGCAACTGAACAGAAGGATAGCAAAATTACTGAGAAAACCAAGAAGAAGAAAGTGAATGATGGTGAAGCTGCTGGGTCCAAAAGGAAAGTCGAAGATGTTCAGCAAGACAGTCAGCCAGAAGGGTGAGTAATTAACCCATTTCACTGGTTAGATGTTTTCGGTTTTTAGGTGTGGTTTTTTTTTTTTTTTTTTTTTGAAGCCTTTAGTCGATAATCAACAATCGTTTAACAACTTTGTTTATATTGTCTTGTTCAGTGATGCACGCTAAATATTCAGTTTTCTAATTTATTGAAGTGTTATATGAAATGATGTCAGGGAAAAGAATAATAAGAAGAAGAAGAAATTGAAAGAGCAAGCTAAGGAGGGTAATGCTGATGACAATGAAAAGCAACCTGAGATTTTGAAGAGCCAAGAGCATGAGCAAAAGCTATCTAATAAGAAGTGAGTGAGATCTGCTGCATCATCTTTCCGTTATTTTACAGAGTACATTTATTGGCTTTATGAAAATTTTCTGTTCAAAACCCAAGCTTTTATTTATTTATTGATAAATTATAATTATATCTTATATGGCCAACTTAATATATATTTTACTAAGAATTTATGTCAGATTAGTAATTTGGAGCCAAGATGTTGAATAGTTGGCATGATAACACCCTCACTAATGGCTTGGATTTGCTATTCACTCTTATTTCTCATGTTTGTGCACAAATTTGCTTTGTTGTTTTTGCATTGAGTAAAATAGCATGTTCATGCACAGGAGATCTGACATCGAAAAGAATTCTATTCCTGGTGAAAATCTCACGGAGGGGAAAAAGAAGAAGAAAAAGAACAAGAAAGCCCAGGAGACTGAAACAAAAATTGACATGGATGAAATCGTTGACAACATGGAAGATCAGAACAAACCTGGTTTGGAGCAAACCATTGGCAAGCGATCCAAAGCGAAAACCTATCCAAATGGATTGGTTATCGAGGAGCTAGCTATGGGAAAACCTGATGGCAAGAAAGCTTCTTCGGGAAAAAAGGTTAAGGTTTAGCCTTTCGGCATGTTTACATTTACCTTTTAAAGGATTCATATTGCTAATATTTGTTGTTTTGCAGGTCAGTGTTCGCTACATTGGCAAGCTAAAGAATGGCAACATATTTGACTCCAACGTGGGAGGGCCACCTTTCAAATTCCGCCTAGGTACCATTAATGTCATTTAACAGCAATCAAGAAACAACTTAACTTCACCATGAGTGTGACCTCATTTTCCTTTGGTTGTGCAGGTCTAGGACAAGTTATACCAGGATGGGATGTCGGGGTTAACGGTAATTTTCTGAGCTGTTCAAATATTTCTTAAATCGGATCTTCAACTTTCCTAAGCAGTTGTTGCATCTTTTAATGCATATCTACCTTCCTCCAGGTATGCGTGTCGGGGATAAAAGAAGACTCACTATTCCACCAGAAATGGGGTATGTCACGATAGTAAGTTTGCCCATGATAGTAACTCTTTCTCCATTTCTGCAAAGCTTATTAATGTGTTTCCTTTGGATGCAGTTATGGACATAAACGTGCCGGTAAAATACCACCAAACTCATGGCTTGTGTTTGATGTTGAGCTGCTCGGTGTTAATTGATTCAGCTGCGGAGATGCTCCGTCTGCTTCCAATTTTGAAGTTCTTGTTCTGCTTGGAAAACCAGTTTTGAAAAATGCAAATGTACTCTGTTTCTGTCTCGCCCCTAACCGTCGGTTTCCAACTTGGTCCTAACAGCATATACTCGATTTATGTCGATGTTGAAATTGTTTATATGAGCATGTGTTGCGGCTGAGAACGTTTCTAGATTGTCTACCTACTTTTTCGGTATCCATTTTGGTGTTAATCATGTACTTTTTTGGTATCCAATTTGGTTATTTTTCCCTTATAAGAACCGAGTTTTGATTAAAACTTGAAATTAATTCGTTTGGTCACATGGAATATTGTGTCAATGACCCCTTAACATTAACCCAATTGGAGTGTTGATCCTTGAACTAAAAATTCATGATCATTCATCTTTTAACTCATCAAAACATGTAGCTATGTTATTTTCATCAACTTTGTGAGAATTTTCGTCAAAACGAGTCATAGTGGAATAACTATTGCTACAATTGGTTTAAAGTTGAAAAATTATTGCTCTAATTGGGTTAAAGTTAAGGTACTAGTGCTACAATTTTCTCATTTGGTTTTTCACATTTGCCTCATGATTCAGCTTCATGACTCATTTTGCCAAAAATCTTGACAGAGTTGATGAAAAGGAATATAGCTGCACATTTTAATAAGTTAAGAGACCAATGATTACAAACTTTTAGCCGAGGGACCAGGGACCATTCTCCAGTTTAGTTTAAGTTGAGAATCATTGCTGCAATTCCCTCAAAAATCTGATCGTGCATACCAAACTTTTTATTAAAAAAAAAAAAAAAAAAAAAAAACCCCTTCCAGAGAGTGCACAATTCGATTCAGATTTTAAAGTGCCAATAATAGTTATTAGATAAAAAAAAGAACTAATGAAATTTTGAAGGGATTGAACAAGAGATATGCAAACTAAGATTACGAAAAGGATTAAACTCTAATCTTAACAAGATATCGAGATTTTGTCTTAACCCACAAGCTTAAGTAATATTAGAGACATAACATGAACAAGCCCTCTGTGCATTACATCACCAGAAAAACAAGCTGAAACAGAAACAACTCTACAACTCTCTCATCAAATGGTTCCTGATCTCCTCACCAAGACCTTATTAGTAACTAGAACACATGTTTACTTATGCCGAATTACACGCTTCGTAATATCGAAAACTAAGAGGGCTTGTTTAACAACGGTTTTAAGATTCCAGCACTCGGATCAGTATGGTTCCACTGGGACTCTGAATTTTGCACCGGCATAGACTGCTGCGGATCCAAGCTCCTCCTCTATCCTAAGAAGCTGCAGAACACAAAGGAAGGCGCAAACACGCGGTTAGAGAGAACTTAGATGCGACTAAATAAGCAGACGTGCGTATGAAGTTTTACCTGGTTGTATTTAGCAAGTCGCTCTGATCTGCACGGAGCTCCGGTCTTAATCTGTCCCTGTTTAACCAAACAAGGATGCATAGATCAAATCAGTTTATGCAACAGCCTTAATCCGAAACTTGGACAATACACTTTCAGCATAATTCGAAGTCCCGAATTATAAAGTAACGAGGTGGAAAAGTTATCAATATGCATCAACAAGTAATGAAAGTAACAGCATCAAGGTAAGACCCCAACACTTACCGTTGACAGCCCAACAGAAAGGTCGGCAATGAAAGTATCCTCAGTTTCACCACTGGAAAATTAAACAAACAAAATTAGCAAAATATGATGCGTGGTGTGTGCGTGAAATGGGAAACGAAAACAGTGAAGATGGGATACCTTCGGTGACTTGCCATGACACCCCAGCCAGCACGCTTTGACATTTTCACAGCTTCAATACTTTCAGTAACTGAACCAATTTGATTCACCTACACAAACATAAAAATACAGAGTGCCATTACTACTCACTAATTATCCACAGGAATCTGTAAACTGTAACAATTCGGAAGTATACAGAGTAGCAGCATTAGCGCTACACGAAAGGAGCAGGGAGTACTACCTTCAAAAGAAGGGCATTGCAGGTCTTCTCATTGATTGCTTTCTCCACTCGCTGCAGCGGCATAATGAATAAAGAAACGTCAAGACATATTTTCTAACATTCATCACATAATTTGATACATAACAGTAATAATAGTAACATCTGCTTGCCTTTGGATTTGTGACGAGAAGATCATCGCCGACAATTTGGACTTGCTCACCAATTTCAGCAGTCATCTTTGCATAGTGTTCCCAATCATCCTGGTCAAACGGATCTTCAATTGACACAATTGGATACTCAGTAACAAATGACTTGTAAACATTCTTCAGACTGTCTCCAGATATCTTTTGTGATCCATCATTTTTCTGCAGTAGATAAAACTACGCAGTTCAGCCATCTAGCCATAAACCCATTAACTTCGTATATATATCCATATGTAGCCAGACGTATTCTAATTTAATTACCTCTTCCTTGAAGTTCAAGTCATAGGTCTTATCCTTGTCATCGTAGAATTCCGAGGCAGCAACATCCATCCCAATGACAACCTTTCCAGTATATCCAGCTTTAGCTATGGCTGTCTTTAGCAGTTCAAGACCCTCTTTGTTTTCCTATTAACGAAACATCAAAAGAATACAAGCATTCGAACAATAAAAAACGCTGCTTCCAAACCAAACATAACACAAAGCCACTTAAATTAATCTCGTCTTGTGAATATTTTATGTGTATACAGACCTGAATATTGGGGGCAAAGCCACCTTCGTCCCCAACATTTGTGGCATCTTGTCCATACTTCTTCTTAATTACAGCCTGCAGGCAAAACCAAGTGGAAACTTTAAAAAGCCTGAACAGAAGGTCATCTATTATCCAAAAGCCGCAAAAGATAATGGCAATACCTTCAGGTGATGATATACTTCAACACCCATCTTCATAGCTTCCTTGAAAGAAGATGCTCCGACAGGGAGGATCATAAATTCCTGTCATAGAAGAAACGGTAAGAATAACAATTGCAAGAGGTCCTAATTTCTCGAGAAAAATACTAACAGATAAATATTAACCTGCATTGCTAGTTTATTGCCTGCATGAGAACCTCCGTTAATGACATTAAATGCAGGTACGGGCAGCACCAAGGTCTTGTTTCCAGCAAGATTGGCTATATGCTGCAAAGTGTAAAGCAAATGCAATCTTAAGAGTAAACCTCAGACGCGCCTTTAGCGAAATAAAATGGTGGGGCACTACTCTCCCGAGAAACAAACCTTGTAAAGAGGGATCTTGTTCACAAGGGCACCGGCTTTGCAAACAGCTAGAGACACCGCCAATATAGCATTTGCTCCGAGCTTCTGTTTGCACCAACCCCATTCGTTGACAGTTCCATCGAGTTGCTGTACCATATAATTGTCGATTTTGGTCTGCTCTGTTGGGTCCTTTCCAATCAAAGCTGGTCCAATGATCGAATTCACATTCTCCACAGCCTAACCAACACAGAGATCAATATCGCCAACCAACTTTTTCTCCATTTTAAAAACCGAAATCAAAGCGATAGAGAGGTAACATTTTAAAGAAATCGCATAATCAAAATCCGTTAGCCAATAACAACCAACATACCTTGAGGACACCTTTTCCAAGATAATCCGATCCGCCATCTCTGAGTTCAAGGGCTTCATAGATACCTTTAAAATAACCAAACAATCGAACATCATCGAAAAGAACTATAATGCAAACCACGCTAATCGCAATGCACGAAAATAAGTTCAAATTCAACGTACTTCACAGCTTAATAGCAAAATGCAAAATTAATGTAGGGCAAACATATCACTAATGCTGCTTACACTATAGCAGCAAGGACGGCCATGAAGCCCGAAAATAAGGTCGTTACTGTGCGCCCAAGGGCCGACGCACTATCTTGGCGCCACTATTAAATCCTCTCCCGTGGAACACCACGCTTCCTCTTCCTCAGAGCACTTCCAGTGTGCTCTTTTGCCCTGTGGACAGGCTCCATTTGCAATCCAATCCTCTCCCAAACTAGCTCCAGCCCATTCGGGCAATTGGGCTAAGAGGGAGCTTGTGGGAGAGGGCAGGCAGGAGCCCACGGCCCGAGTGAGGAGTGATGCAAGGCTGACATCAGCATGATGCCAGCCACGCACGTGGAGGCGTGTCTCAAGCATATTTTCAGACGATGGAGCCCGCGTGTCCACCCCACTCAGTTACTGTGAATCTGGACCGTTTGATTTCCAGATCAACGGTTCAGTTTTATCGGCTTTAGAATTTTTTTTTGAAAAAGAAAAAAATTAGATATGTTTGGGTGGGCCACGTGTCTCATTCTGGACGGTTGAATTTCATTTTTTTTTGTAACCCAATGGTCCAGATTAATTAAGTTAATAATTTTTTTTAAACAACTTAAAAATCCAATTTTTTATTTTATTTTTATAAATACACACCATTTTCTCCCACCTTACACCACATTTCAATATTTCCAACAATTCTAAATAGGTAAGAACATGTTGCACGACGTAATTGGTTAAAAATCTGATAGAAATCTATTCACAAAAATTATATTTTCGGATAATGACACGTAACATTACGAAATCGGTTAAAAATCTTATTCGAAATTTAAATTTAAATTATTTTTTATTATTTTATAAAATAAAAAATATTAATATTTTATTACATATTGTCATGACAATTCAATTTAGAAGTGGAGAGACAAAAATAATTACGGTCCATTAAAGGTAATTACTATTCCCTAGAGATTCAATTGCCATGGGAGCCCTTACACATTGGAATTGCTCTCAAGAGGAAAGCGCTTAGCCTTGGGCGCTTCTTATTTTTTAGGGTAAAGTACAAAAAACTACCTCAATTATTAGGACCACGACAGTTTCATCCCTTATCTTTTAAAATAGACAATGTCATAACGCATCTTACGAATTTATGACAATGTCATACCTCGTCAATTTTTCTGTTGCTGACGTGGTAAGAGACTCGGACCATTTCTATTAAAAATTATTAAAAACTAAAAAAAAATTTATAATTTTTTAATATTAAAATAATAAATAAAAGTAAAATTAAAAATTAAAAATTAAAAAAAAACCCAGAAAAAGGAAGGAGAGAAGAGGGGGAAGGATCCCCGCACCCCCCAGGAAATTTTTTGTTCTTAATTTTTTTAATATTTAAATTTTTTTAATCTAACTGGATTAGTGAGTGGTCCTGTTTTTTGCCACGTCAGCACTTAATAACAAATTCGTATGGTACGGTATGACATTGTCAATTTTAGAAGATAAAGTATGAACTGTCGTGATCCTAATACATGAGACCCTAATAGTTGGAGTAATTTTTTGTATTTTATCCTATTTTTTAATTATTTTAAATATTTATTTGTACTTTCAGGTTAAATAAAATCTACAGACGTACATAAACACATAAGTTCAGTAACAATCCGAAAATAAATAGAGACAAATACATATATTCGTATGTATGCTTGATCGAAATCACAGAGATTAAAACAAACAACTATGTTTTTTTACCTGTGGAAGCCCCACTTGGAACAGCAGCTCTTGCGTAGGTTCCATCCGATAGCGTGACATCAACCTAAAAAAACACAAACATGTTCGGTCACTCAGAAATCCAACATTTCTGATTGGAGTTTCTTTATTTTCCCGGAGTTTCTCGCATTTTCTCAGAAACTAAACAGACAGTAAGGCCGGGAAAACCGTACAAAAACAAAAACGGAGATAGTAAAATAAAATGAAAATTTCGAAATATGGGACGGCGGGGATTGAACGGAACTTACTTCGACGGTGGGATTCCCACGGCTGTCGAAGATTTGACGGGCTTTAACAAGCTTGATCGTTGCCATTTTTCTCTCAGTCTGCTTTTTCACTCTCTGTATTTACCGAAGGCTTTTGTGGGAAACTGACGGAGGAGTTGCGGAAAATATATATAGAGGCGGGACAAGCGGGCGAGAAGCACGGGCAACGAAATCTCTGCCGTTGAGCTTCTAGAAAGTGCGATGATGTCAACGGTCGTGATTGCTTTTCTTGCCGATCACGGGGTGTCCGCTTGGCCTCCGTGGGCCCGGAGTGGCACATTGAAGTGGAATATGCGGTTCCTCGCTGCCCCTTGCCCAAGGAATTGAATTGGGCATTGGTTCTGTTGAAAAGGAAGGGTAAGTTTGGTATTTCGAGGTTCTTATTGTCGGGGGCGCACCCAGATTTGTTAAACAGTGGCCAGTTTTTCTAGTGCTTGTTTTATGGTTGCAGAAAAGTCGTGCAGGTAAAAGTAAAACTACTGTTTTAAAAATTCCTTTTTATCGTTTAGATCTTATTTAGGCGTTAGACGGTTGGTTATCATCTCGATTAATGTTTAAATGTTTAAAAATTAAGAAAGGAAGCTTAGACCTACTGAGGTGTCCGCCTAGCCCGTTCAGATCCTTCTAGGTTGCGACTCACTTAGACAGAAAATAAATAACTTTCATTTTGCATCTTATTTTTTTTTACAATAAATTATTAGGGACTTGTTGTATACTTAAATGAACACATATTATATATTTGTTCTTCATGTTTTCATTATGTTCTAATACTTCATAATATATATCACTCTAGTTTGTAGTTTATGATGAAATTATATATATTTTAAGTATAAACAGACACTTATATATACAAAATATAATAGATTTACTTAAATCCGTCTAATCTGCCTAACCGCCTAGGCACTAGACTCCAGTATATTACCCGACTAGCGTCTAAAGTATTTTAGAACCTTGGATAAAAGTGAAATTCACAGGCCCAAGCCCACCAATTATGAGCCCAAATTGTTAGTTGGGCCCAAAGCTTAAGCCCTATAAGGCAGGTCCTAAAACCTCCTTCTCTGCGTCGACCAACCTATTGGAAGAAGTAGGGTTTTATCGAGGTTTCAGAGGCCACAGAGGAAAGGTTAATTTTAGTACTCAGCCTCCCAATTTTCAATCTTAAAGTAAACTGATTTGAGCTCTACACTATCATACTTCCGATTTAGCTGTATTATTATCTGGGTTCTGAGTTTTGAGTTCTTCTTTTTCCCGTTTTCTGTTTGGTTGCCGAGAAAATTTGGGTAAGAAAAAGATATCCCATTTTTTGTTTTTGTTTTAGTTTTTTTAATTTTCCTGAAATCCCAACAGTATGTTTCTAGGGTTTGAATATGTTGGTCGTAGATTGCAGCGCGATATTTTGATATTTAGAATTTGACAAGAGTTTAGCTGTAAATAATTGAAGTATATTGGTATTTGGAATGCTTCTGTGTTTATTCAGATTAAGATATATGATGTTTTGAGGAAATTTTATGTGTTTTTTGGAATCCGTTGATTGCTTTTTTGTGCATTTTGCTCATTAGTATGTGGGATTTGTATTTCCTTTTAATAGGTTTACGAAATGGGTGTGTCCAATAAAGAGTCCCGGTTGATTAACGAGGATTCGATGGAAGAGGATGATTTCGAAGAGGTTGGGTCCGGGTCAGAATCGGAGGAAGACTCTGAAGAGGAGGGGAGATGTGAAGCTGGATGAGCCGTCGAAGAAGGCTGTATACAACAGAGACGGTATCATGGATAAACTTGGAGATATAAGCTGGCCGGAGAATGCAGGATGGGTGCACAAACTCGCTGTTGACATTGATCAAGAGCAAAAGGTGGACGTGAATGATGACCTGACTCGTGAGCTTGCCTTCTACACACAGGCTTTAGAGGGAACGAGGAAGGCATTTGAGAAGCTTCAGTCAATGGGGCTTCCGTTTCTGAGGCCTGAGGACTACTATGCAGAGATGGTGAAGTCAGATTCCCATATGGAGAGAGTGAAGAGCCGGCTTTTGGTAGAGAAGAAGAAGATCGAGGAGGCGGATGAGAGAAGGAAAGCTAGGGAGTCCAAGAAACTATCTAAGGAGATTCAGGCTCAGAAGTTGAAAGAGAGAGCTAAGCAGAAAAAGGAGGACATAGAATCTGTGAAGAAGTGGAGGAAGCAGAGGCAGCAAAGTGGGTTTGCCGGGGGTGACAAAGGCAGCGAGTTGGATTTGGCCTTCGAGGATGGGAAACCATTCGAGAGGTCAAGTAAGAAGAGGCCATTTGTGGCTCCAGGAGATCGGTCCGGAGGGAAAGCAAGACAAGGTGGGAAGCCGGCTGGGAAGAAACCGAAGAAGAGAGAAATCAAGGATTCCAAGTTTGGATATGGAGGAAGGAAAGGTTCCAAGAAGCAAAATGTGGCTGAAACGACTAATGATTTGAGGGGATTCAACAAAGATAGTCTCACATCAGGAAATAGGAAAAGGAAGAGGTGATAGCATCTTATGATTTTGGCTTTCGTTCTACTCTTTTGTTCGGTAAGGGCTTGCCTGTGTAGCCTATTTGTTGTGCTTTGCCTTGGTATCTTACGAAGTAATATTTGGCCCTCATGAAACCAAAACTCTTACGAATTTGTAGGCGTTTTTCATATGAAAAATTATGGTTTGCTAACAAGTTTTATAGTTATCGGATAGTTGTGTTCATCCAATTTGTAGTATTCATGCTACTTTCTATTCTACAAGATTAGCCATGTTTATATCAGCAGGTTGTCATTTAAATATATATATATATATATATACACACACATATAGTTTTTTAATTAAAATTGTTATTGAGATTGTTATAACTCATCACTCATTGAAATTGTTTACCGTTCATCATTTAGTTAAAAACTTCCGTTAAATTGAAGAAATCACCAATTCAGGAAATGAGTTGATTGACAAAAATACTCTTAATTTAACATATATTTCTCACAGAAGAACCTAAATTATTGACGATCACTTCTAGTGATTTTAAATTTTTGGGACTAAAGTAAAAAAATATGTCAATGTTGGGATCATTTTGGATAAAAAGCCTATACATTTTACATGCTAAAATGTCTAAAAGAGGTTAGGGTTCCTTGAAGTCACTTTTCGATGACATAGAGTAAACGAGAAAACTAAGGAAGTTCCATGTGAGGTTCTTGGGAGGTACGTGTGGACTTGGCCGAAGACATACAAAACTGGAAGTTGGGAAGTTTCATCCCAATTTACAATTGATTTTTTTTTTTTTAATGATTTTCTCAGTTAGCTTTCACACCACACCTCACCATCTGCTCCTCCAACATGTTCTCCTACAAAAAGCTTCTCTCACAGACACTTCTTTCAATCCCCACACCACTACACCAGTACTTATAAATACCCTCATTTCCTTCTTCTAACACCACCATAAACCCGTCTTCGCCTTGCTCGTGGTCAAAGGTTATCCAGTCCAATCCAATCCTACGAGTTGTTTGTTCAACCATGTTGGATTCTACATTGGACTTGCTCACTCAGGCCGCTTCCAACTCTCTTTACGTTTTCTGCTTCTGCAACTTGATCATAGTCATGATCCTCGTGGGATCGAAACCCGGCTCTTACTTTGATCAAGAAAGTGAAATTCCCGTCTCGGTTGTCACCAGCAGCTACAAAAACAGAAACACAAATGATCATAAGCAAGTTGAAGATGGTAAATGTGAGCAGGAGGAAGGTTCCATGATCAAATCACCAATTGTTTTCGGCCAAGTGGTGAATCCCGAGGTAGAACTTGCCGCTGCCGGAGATGACAAGGGCAGCAGTGATGATCACAATGAAAGCAAGGAGTGTGACAGTGAAGATGAGCTGAGGAGAAGAGCGGAGGAGTTCATTGAAAAAGTTAACAGAGGATGGAGGGCAGAGTTGCTGATAACCTCCCATTTAATCTAGCAGGCTTTATCAAGCTTGAAATTTTGTACATTTGTAAAAATGAGTTTATCTACTGAGGAAACTACAAAATATTTCGCTTCTTTTTTCATTCGACTCTCTAGTCTTAAGAATGTCGATTTTAAGAATGAGCGATTGTCCTTTTCCGACCCTAATTTTATTCATTCGGAATGACACATTCTTAGAATTGGTGGTCCTTACAGAAATGCCTATGATTCTCAAGTCACATGGATAAAGGGCATATTCTTTCGTAAGCTACATGATATAAGAAGGAATTAAGATCCTCTTTGAATCTTGTGGTCTGAAACTGACGGTTCGAGAAATTCAGACCACTCATTTTAAATCTTAGGGTCTTCGTTAACCTTTCTCAGTGGGTCATCTCACACAAACCAAACATTCGGATCCCTGTCCCTCTCTTGAATGGTCCAGATTTTTTGTTTTGTAGGCTCAGACTGCAAGATTCAAAGTCTGGACCAACTCTAAATTGTATAAGATGTTCAACTTTTCTTATCTTCGCTTTTGTATTTGGGGCCATCATACAACTTTTTATCACTTCCCAACTCAACAATAAACATTCTTATAAAGCGTTTATTGAGCTCTCTCTCAAAATCAATTGACAATAAGCGGAAATGTTCAAGGTGGGAGTACTTACGCTAGATTTCCATCTTTCGACGTGAGACAACTTCAACATTTTAAGATTTCAAATAATGTTGCCAGTTATAAGAAAGCTGTCGATTTGATAGCCAAGTCAATGCTATTGCCTGTCTTTGTATCTATGGCCCTTATTATATATGATTTAATTTAGACTATTCTTATTAGTCTCTTTCACATAATTACCTAATGTTGTAGTTTGTCAACATCTAGCTAGTTTAGTCAATTTTAGGTTGGGTAGGGCGGCAATTAAAAATCGATATAACACAACAACAAAGCATTATCCTATTAGTTGAGGGCTGTTTTATAAATTCTAGAATGTCATTGCACACAATTTTGTGTTAAGATTTTTGTTAGTTCCAAATACTCTGTGCTTTTTCTTCTTCTTCTCAAAATCTCTTTTCATTGGCTCTAATTAAACATTGATATAAATGTCTTATAATTTAATCAAGATCATGTACATGGGTGTAAAGGGCTAAAACAATTCGGGTTTTCCTTTTTCTTTTACAAAAGTAAATATTCCAAATTATGGGAATAGTTAGAGAGCGGGAATGCAAACTGGGGTACAAAGGGCAACATAATGTCCTGTGCAACTACCCTAACACACATATGCCAATTCATTCTTAGTTAAGTAATACTTTAACATTGAAAGAGATTCAAAATCCAAATTTTCCGTCTTCCGTTGATATAAGGAAAGAAAACAAGAAAGAAGAAGACAATTAAGTGCCATAAAACCAGGAATAGTGATGTGGATGTGCTGAGGCCTTTTCATTAAATTAATTAATGGAAAAATAGGCCCCATAATGATAATATGCTACATAAAGCTTCCCACCGCCACTCTTACCTCCATCCAAACCCACCCCTCTCTCTCTCTCACTCATCCTTCACAATGCTTGATTCTACACTACAATTAATCACTCAGGCAGCTTCCAACTCTGTGTTCATCTTCTGCTTCTGCAACTTGATCATAGTCATCATCCTCGTGGGATCGAGACCCGTCTCCAACAACGACGAACGGAGCATAATTCGCGTCACAACGGCCCCCAGCAAGAGTGCGGATGATGAACAAGGCACGAGGGCGAAACAAGCGTGGAAGGAGAAGAATGCCTTGATGCAGGTCAGTGAATTAGTGTCAAATGAACAGAATGCAGCAGCTGATGATGGTGAATTCAGCAGCACCGATGGAGATAGCGACGATGATGAAACTGACACTGACGATGAGCTGAGGACAAGAGTAGAAGAGTTTATAGAAAAGGTTAATAAGGCATGGAAAGCAGAAGTGCTGACAACTTCATGTGTATTCTAGGCAGCAATTTTGTGTTGCAGTAATGGAACTCAAGTTACTCAACTGTAGCAATGTAAAGAAAAATCATTCACAAAAATGCACAATAAGAAAGAAGCACTTATGTTCATAAGCGATTTTGAACGTTTAAAGCACTTAAAGTTCGTAAGCAAAGAGTCACAACATCCATTCATATTCCAACTTTCAGATAATAAGAACTTGAAGGGACAAATGACCAGTCATGTTTAAATCACCAATTTAGGAGATGGGTTGATTTGACAAAAATACTCTTAATTTAACATATATTTCTCACAGAAGAACCTAAATTATTGACGATCACTTCTAGTGATTTTAAATCTTTGGACTAAAGTAAAAAAATATGTCAATGTCGGGATTATTTTGGATAAAAAGCCTATACATTTTACATGCTAAAATGTCTAAAAGAGGTTAGGGTTCCTTGAAGTCACTTTTCGATGAGATAGAGTAAATGAGAAAACTAAGGAAGTTCCATGTGAGGTTGTTGGAAGGTACGTGTGGACTTGGCCGAAGACCTACAAAACTGCAAGTTGGGAAGTTTCATCCCAATTTACAATTGAATTTTTTTTAATGATTTTCTCAGTTAGCTTTCACACCACACCTCACCATCTTGTCTTCCAACATGTTCTCCTACAAAAAGCTTCTCACAGACACTTCTTTCAATCCCCACACCAGTACTTGTAAATACCCTCATTTCCTTCTTCTAACACCACCATAAACCCGTCTTCTCCTCGCTCGTGCTTGAAAGTTATCCAATCCAATCCAATCGTACGAGTTGTTTGTTCAACCATGTTGGATTCTACATTGGACTTGCTCACTCAGGCCGCTTCCAACTCTCTTTACGTTTTCTGCTTCTGCAACTTGATCATAGTCATGATCCTCGTGGGATCGAAACCCGGCTTTTACTTTGATCAAGAAAGTGAAATTCCCGTCTCGGTTGTCACCAGCAGCTACAAAAACAGAAACACAAATGATCATAAGCAAGTTGAAGATGGTAAATGTGAGCAGGAGGAAGGTTCCATGATCAAATCACCAGTTGTTTTCGGCCAAGTGGCGAATCCCGAGGTAGAACTTGCCGCTGCCGGAGATGACAACGGCAGCAGTGATGATCACAATGAAAGCAAGGAGTGTGACAGTGAAGATGAGCTGAGGAGAAGAGCGGAGGAGTTCATTGAAAAAGTTAACAGAGGATGGAGGGCAGAGTTGTTGATAACCTCCCATTTAATCTAGCAGGCTTTATCAAGCTTAAAATTTTGCACATTTGTAACAATGAGTTGATCTATTAAGGAAACTACAAAATTTCGCCTTTTTTTCATCCGACTCTCTGGTCTTAAGAATGCCGATTTTAAGAATGAACGATTGCCCTTTTCCGACCCTAATTTTAATCATTCGGAATGACACATTCTTAGAATTGGCAGTCCTTACAGAAATGCCTTTGATTCTCAAGTCACATGGATAAAGGAGTATAAAGTGTTTGAAAAGTTACAAAAGGGCATATTCTTTCGTAAGCTGCATGATATAAGAAGGAATCGAGATCCTCTCCAAATTTTGCAGCCTGAAATTAATGATCCGAGAAATTTAGACCACTCATTTTAAATCTTAGGATCCCATTTAACGTTTATCAGTGAGTCACCTCACACAAACCAAACATTCAAATCTCTGTCCCTTTCTTGAAAAGTCCAAATTTTTTGGTTTGTAGGCTCAGACTGCAAGATACGGAGTCTAGACCGAATCTGAATTGTATAAGATGTTCAACTTTTCTTATCTTCACTTTTGTA